GTGTTCTGCTCTCGTGTCAGCGCGGCAGAAGCTTTGGGACCTGGGTGTACCGGAGGGAGCGAGTGTTTGCGACGTCATGCAAATAGACGATCAGCGCGGTCTTGCAAAGGTTGTTTATGACATGTTTTGCTTTCGGCGCGAGCGCATCGCCGTGTAGAGTCGATGGAGACTCCTTCTCAGGTCATGTTGTGCTTTTGTGACGTATCTGTCTTATGTTGTCTTTATGCCCTTTCTGCTACGGTTGATTTTTCCTTACTTTTTGTTCCTTTTGCTTGTCTGAGGCGGTTCATGAGCCTTCGGGTTCGTTTGAACCGTACGAGCTCACTGAAGCTTGTAACATCATCATCATCAAGATTTCACAACCGGGGTCGTGAAAACTTGCAAAAACTCATCAGCTTCAAACATAATCTAGTAAAAACAAGACGCTGGACGCCTCGTTGGCATACAGCAACTTAAACCACACACAGCGTCCGGTCTTCACCTTGCTAGCCTTTTAATTTTCTCATATTTTTAAGCAGAGCATGCGTTTGCCGCGGCAGAAATGAGCGGTCTAAATGATTACTCCGACGATGAGCCGTGTGATCATGACGAGGACTCTATTCAGGCAGAGCAGGACGACCCTAGCATAGACGCTATCGCACAACAAGCTGTCCTGAGTGCAGTGCAGGCGCTGAACGTGCCCCTGCCCAGTATTTGCAAGGCAAAAAAGCACAAAAATGCAATGTAAACACTTTTTCAGACCAAAACTAGTTTCGGGCAGAATCGGTCTTATGTCTGGTTTCCGTATTAATGTTTTGAACTGGACAAATGTAATCGAACCCTAAGGGGCTGTTTACATATGACTGAAACCAAAGGTGAGCCGCCACCAGAGTTCCACGGAACTCCAGCTTCGAAGTGTGTTTGCACGACATTGTGGGCCCAACGTCCACGAGATATGGGGTTTCGATCGGGTTATCCTGATACCAGGTCTCCCTTTAGCAGCCCGAATGATGAGTTTTTGCAAGTTTTCACGACCCCGGTTGTGAAATCTTGCATTAAGACTTTTATGTACGAAACCACTTTCCGGCTGAAATGTAAACACCACTTATAAACTGATTCCCGACTTAAAGTCTAACTGCAAGACACTGTTTCGTGCATATGTAATCGAACCCTTATGTCTGCTGGTTTCCGTATTAATGTTTTGAACTGGACAAATGTAATCGAACCCTTAGTGAAGCTTATATGGAATTTGAATCTGAATTGCGTGTGGGTGTTGGTTCTGTTCGTCGCTGCCTGGGTGAGAGTCTGCCGGAAGAGTGATGACCGACGTTCATTTGCGGACACACTGGAACGCAGCATTTATAAGGCTTTATAATCGGAAGCTAAAGATGTAATTTTGGAAAGCAGAAATGATGCAGTCGGGCTGAAGATCCCGAACGGAGTACGTACTTCGAGGTCGCATTTTCTGTAACGCACCCAGTAAACTTGTGTTTAATCCATTCTAAGGCGATCAACCGATCAAACCGACCTACATTACGGGCGCCACGGGCTAAGTTATACCCGGAAATTGGTCTCAGACCAATTGAAGGGTTAAGTACCCGGAAATTGGTCTCAGACCAATTGAAGGGTTAAGCACCAGAGGAGTTGTGATCTCAATATGTGGGCCAGCAGTACACATGTGGGCGGTAACGGGGCAGTACCGTCGCATCGTCAGCGGCACCGACGCACGCTAGGAACAGGAGAAAATGCAGAGAAGGGCAAGGGCGGCAGTATGTGAGTCGGAATCAAGGATCGGCGAGACGAAATGGAGTCAAACAAGGGAAAGCGCCTTGAGGACGCCAGTGCAGGACACACTGCTCTGTGTGTCTGCGAGGGCCCGTACACGCGCATGTGGAATGCGACGTGCTTCTGAATTGAAGTCGCCCACCGTTTGCTCGAACGAACCACAATAGGAAAGGCGGTGACGCATGCGTACTGCTCAGGAAGGAGAACCAAGCGCCCGGAGGACGCAAACGTTGCGTAGAAACACATGCAAGAATGGCATAAACAATGGAGGTCATTTGTGCGAGGCAAAGCACGGGAGCACGAACAGCGCTAGGAGAAGGCCGAGACCGGGAAGCGGGCATTGCACAAACGAAAGCGGAGAATGCAAAGGCAGCGCAAAGGAGTATCAACAAATGATATCAAGGGAAGGCAACACGACGTATAGACCAGATGGCGAGCTGTGACGGTCACGCGAACGGTTGACATAATACGCGGAGACGTCTGGATACCATACGCGGAGACCTCTGGTGACAATACAGGCTGGTGATGAACAGGTAAAGCGACCAAGCACACGTATCCGAAAACTGAACCCTTCATTGGTCAGCGGCATCTGCGCGAACGGTTGACGCAATACGCGGAGACCTCTGGAAGCGGCGGTGTCGCGTCTATCAATGGGTCGCGGCCATTTGTGCGAGGCAAAGCAATCCATTTGTGCGAGGCAAAGCACGGGAGCACGAACAGCGGGAAGGAGAAGGCCGAAACCGGGAAGCGGGCATTGCCAAGACGAGCGCGGAGACCTCTGGACCGACACCGCGATCAGAAGAACAAATCCAATCTGAATGGCGCTTGGATGCAAAGCGACGGTGACGCATGCGCGAGACGCAGGACCTAGGAGGCCGAAACCGGAGCATACATACGCTGCGCAGGTTCACACGCGTCCGAAGGCTGCTTGCAGGGCAACGAAAACGACACGGGAAACGGTGCCTAGTGCGGGCCGTCCCTTCGTACGGGTGGCCCCTTCGTGCGGGTCGCCTTCTACTGCGGGTTGCCCCCTACTGCGGGTCGCTCCTCAGTGCGAGTCGCTCCTCAGTGCGGGTGGCCCCTTCGTGCGGGTGGCCCCTTCGTGCGTGTCGCCCCTCATTGCGGGACGCCTCTGGGTGCGGGTCGCCCCTTCGTGCGGGTCGCTCCTTGGAGCGGGTCGCCCCTTCGTGTGCAGCCATTTGTTCTTGCGTCCACATTCACACACGTTTGCGTGTGGATGGGAGTCGCCCCTTCATTCGCGCACAGCAGCGCGCGTGCGTGTGACACGCTTGGGCTTACGGTCCAGCGTAAACTTTCCTTGTGCATGCGGTGCCCCAGTGCCATGGCCGTCACCCCCGCCGGGGACCGTGGTGGGACCGGGGGAGACCGGGGGGGACCGTGGTGAGACCGCCGGGGACCGGGGTTTTGGGCTTGTGGACCCTCTATCTACCAGTTTTTTCCCCGCTGTGATTGCCCCTGTCGGGCTACGTGAAGCATGGGATTGCTGGGGTGTTGTTCACCGTTGAGCAAAACGTGGGCAAAACGACGTGTGTAAAGGAAGGCCTTTGGGGCCCACAGGGGGAGGGTGGGGCATGGCCTCCGTGCTTGGCTAGTGCCCTGCTTTCCCCCTATCTACATGTCCGATGGTGCCTGCATTCCGCAATTCCAAGCCGACCTGTTACTGCTGCGTACCGCCGGCTGCGGCACACTGACTGTCGTCCGTCTTCCTATCAACACACGCTTTCCACAACTCCACGGCGCAACCAAATTTCCGGGATCGCCGCAGGCCCTTCTTGTATATTTTGCTAGATGCGTTGGTTAACGTTGATTAGTTCGTTGGGCTCTTGCACGGCAAACGGAGCAGGCAGGAGCGGCAAGCGGGTTTTCGTCCGGCACACTTAGGGCCTCCGACACGGGATATTATTATTGCTAGCAGTGAGCCGGCGCTTAGAACCGGGGCTCCACCCAGTTGGCTCGCCAACTGGGTGCTACGTATCATTGTAATGCCTTCTCGCTCCCTAGTCGATTGTGGTGCACAGCATCGGTGGCTGCATGTGCAGGGGCCCAGCACTAGCTGCAGATGGCTGTATCAACAACGACCCAGCACCGCATGGCAGTCGTGTGTGTGTGTGGAATCGGAGGGCCTTCGTCCGCTTCGTGTCTATCAGCTGTCTTTGCTGTCGAAATTCCAACAGCACAAGTGCACAACACTTGCCAGGGCGACACATCACGTTCCAGTATCACAACGCATAAATACGAGTACGTGTAAATGAGGAACCATGGAGGACAGCAGCACGACTGCGTGAGAGTAACGGCTTAACAGCGACACACGGCCTGCAGGCCTGGAGTATAGAAGTGTTAGGACACGCAACACACCAGTGCTTCCCATGGAGCGAACATGGCTACGCTCGTGCTAGGCCACAGCTAGCTGCACTTGCTGCAAGAAAGTGTGGTGCAGAGCAAGTGTCACAGCCTGGCCGCAGCAAGCCTGGCAGCGTGTGGGCGGGGGTGAAGACCTGCTGCGGGTTGCAGTTCAGAAGGTGCGGGCACACTCTCTTGTGCGATTTCTGGAAGCATGCTTGGCGGTATGAGAGTCCCGTACACAACCCTGCGGCCGTATTGCAGATTAATAAGAGTCCAGTCCTATGTCACGGTAGCGGGAGAGGCCTGGGATCGGGGCAACCCGACACCCCACCCCTCCTGCACCCATAACCCACGCCTCGGCTCCGTCGGGATTAATAATAATAATTTTATTATAATTATTATTATAGATATTATTATAATAAGTATGATTATGATTAATAATATTATTATTATGATTATTATTATGATTATTATTATTATTATGATTATGATTATGATTATGATTATGATTATGATTATGATTATGATTATGATTATGATTATGATTATGATTATGATTATGATTATGATTATGATTATGATTATGATTATTATCGGCTTCATCAGTGGAATGAAGGCACAGGCTTCCGTGACTGCACGTGAGCCCCCATATCGCGACATGAGGACAGCTCGATTGGTCGCCGGCGTGCGTGTGAATTTTGGGTAATGCGCTTCAGTTTGGGCTGGTAGCCCTGCTACAGGCAGGTACTGGTTGCGGGCGTCTTGGTTGACGTCGCCGGGCACAGCTGTGCGCTTAGCATTTAGTAGTGCCCCCTGCCCCACGACCCTTCTGGCAAAATAAAGAAGGTAGTCTGCGGCTATTATTAAGCACTGCCGTTGTAGCTCAGTGGTAGAGCGTTTGTCTTGTAAACAAAAGGCCTCTGGTTCAAACCCAGACTGCGGCATGAATGGACTGATTCATCAGTGATCCTCACCTCAAGTCATCTGGATGGATAATTATTATCAACTGTAGAGGAGAACCGCTGCACACATATGCAACATTACCGGTGCGACTATATCAGTGCTTTGGAGGTCAGGGTGCCATGCCCCAGCCTGCAACTTTTGCCTCCTACGGTATCTTCACGGTTTTAAATGCACCTACGTAGCTATCTATCCCGCGCTGTCATCCCCCCATTCCTGCCTCCCTCCCCCCACCCACCCATCCCTCCATCCATCCGTCCCTCCCTCCGTCAAGGCGTGCACTGCACCACGAATACGCCGTTGGAGTCCGGGCTTACTTACTTGGTGAGAGCGAGGGTGCAATCACGATGCAGGATTTGGGTTGCGGCTGGATGGTGACAGAGCTATCCAGCTGTCTTACTTCCATATTTCCGTCCCTTCGCCAATAATCACGCGGCCACTGCACGTACGCCCCTGCCTGCGCTGCCTTCCCTTGGTTGCGAATGCATACATGACTTTCCGCCTATGGCGTAGGTAGCTACCATACCTCACTCTCGCTTGCTCGTCCAAGCCTATCTAACTCCCAAGCTTGGCTCGCTCGATCACCCGCCTGCCTACGCACTGCACGACCTGTCCAGGGACGGCAGTGGACGACTTGGGTGCTGGTGATGACGGTGCCGTTGGGGAAGCGGCCAGCGCCAGGAATCTGGGGGAGTACGGCAGTACGGCAGTACGTACGGAAGTCGGCAGTGACACTGCTTACGGACATTGGCTCACTGGATTTATCACAAAAAACACTGCGCATGCATGCGCAATCAACGGCTCGGTCGATGGCTCGACATAGTACATACACGTACGTACGGCCTCATTGGTACGTAGGCGTGACGAGCGATTGGTCATTGGGCATTCGTATTCATCGCTTGCGTTGGTGGAATCCTTGCAGACCAGCTTCCAGCCGTCATTTGCGGCGTTCCGGATGTAAGCGCAGCAAATATCGTTCAGGCCGGTGGAGAGCCCATCAGCTGACGCAGTTGGCAGCAGGCCGGCGGCGAAGCCAAGAAGCACCAGCAGCAGTAACGGTGCGACCTTGCGGCCTTGCGACATTCATGATGGACTGGTCGATGTACGTATGACGACGCGGACGGACCGAGCGAGGCAGACGTGCTCAATGGCAATGTTGATTTTGAGTCAAAAAATGGCATGCTCTATAAGGATATTATGTTTAGTGTGTCTGGAAAATATTTGGGCAAGACCGTCATGAATTACGTACTGCGAGGCGCGGCAACACGTACTGACGTACATACCGCTACACGTACGTTCGCACTTGACGGCAGGTAGAGTTACACATTTTTCGCCCCACATTCTCTTCTCACTCGGTTAGTGAACTCTCCGTCATCTCACTCATACTCTTATGAGCAACTCTGGCTTTGCTCATACTTAACAGCCGTTCATACCCTTTCATACCGCGGTCATTCGACTCGTTCACCAAGCGAGCATACAGTGACGATGTCCAGCCGACGAAATCATGGCAACCTTTTGAACACACGGATGTTTACCGGACACACCTTCCAGACAATCACCTTTTGGCCAAGGCTTCATTGTGTTCATTCATTTGGGACGAGACAGCTGTGGGCCCGGGCTGGAAAGCCCTTTCCTTTTGCATCGCCGTTCCCTTATGCTCAAGCCTTCATTGGTCTCAGGACCCATTCCGGCTACAGTGGAGGAGGATATATCCGTTAGGTATATTTCTAGGCGATTACCGCCGTGGCTTTCCTGGTTTGTGCGTTACAGAAGAGCTTGGAACTGGTTGGAACAGTGCAGCTGTGCGCCAGTGCAGAAGTGCTACAAAGAAGTCAGGTGGTCATTTCTTGGGCATCTCAGGTCAGCACGCAGGCGGCCGCCGTCAATGGCAGTGACATCGCAGCATCCGTGGGGGGGTAACCCCCTGATAACCCAACCAAGCTGGATGGACGCGCGGCCGTCGAGTTAGGTTACGGCCCCGGATCGTGGCTCGGGACATGTACCGAACAATGACAGACCCCTCTGGCTCAGGACATGTACCGAGTCGGTACATGTCCTGAGCCACGATCCGGGGCAGCCCCAGCATAAGCTGTTCTTTAAATTCTAGTCGATTATTTATTACTATGTAATGTTGGATCGTTTTGGCGACTCACCATTGAGGGGCACACCGTGGGACCGTGTCCCATGCTCCGACCCAATATCCCAATGCAAATGGATTATATAAAAAAAATTAATTACCAATCGGTCTGGCTACCCGCCACGAGGCGGTACGCCGCGGGACCGAGAGCCACGATCCGTGGCCGCCACAGCATAAGCTGTTGTTCCAGTTCAGGTTGATTGTTTCTTCCTTTTTTTATTTTTCGTTGGCTCTGGCTACCCGCCACGAAGTGGGATGCCGCGGGACCGAGAGCCACGATTCATGGCTCGGGACATGTACCGAGTCGGGACATGTACCGAGCCACGATCCGAGGCCGCCCAGCATAAGCTGATATTCCAATTCAGGTTGATTGTTTCTTTCTTTTTTTATTTTTCGTTGGCTCTGGCTACCCGCCACGAAGTGGGATGCCGCGGGACCGAGAGCCACGATTCATGGCTCGGGACATGTACCGAGTCGGGACATGTACCGAGCCACGATCCGAGGCCGCCCAGCATAAGCTGATATTCCAATTCAGGTTGATTGTTTCTTTCTTTTTTTATTTTTCGTTGGCTCTGGCTACCCGCCACGAAGTGGGATGCCGCGGGACCGAGAGCCACGATTCATGGCTCGGGACATGTACCGAGTCGGGACATGTACCGAGCCACGATCCGAGGCCGCCCAGCATAAGCTGATATTCCAATTCAGGTTGATTGTTTCTTTCTTTTTTTATTTTTCGTTGGCTCTGGCTACCCGCCACGAAGTGGGATGCCGCGGGACCGAGAGCCACGATTCATGGCTCGGGACATGTACCGAGTCGGGACATGTACCGAGCCACGATCCGAGGCCGCCCAGCATAAGCTGATATTCCAATTCAGGTTGATTGTTTCTTTCTTTTTTTATTTTTCGTTGGCTCTGGCTACCCGCCACGAAGTGGGATGCCGCGGGACCGAGAGCCACGATTCATGGCTCGGGACATGTACCGAGTCGGGACATGTACCGAGCCACGATCCGAGGCCGCCCAGCATAAGCTGATATTCAAATTCAGGTGATTATTTCTTAGGACATGTACCGAGTCAATGTTTACTCGAGCCAATGTTTACGGTTACCTCCGTGCAAGCTGCAACTGCAGTTCAAAACATTCCGGCACTTATCTTCAGCTATTGTCCAAAGATAAAACATTAAAAAACAAAACCAAGAAGTGCGCATTTTCGCGTGGAAACTCGGCTGTCACACTTACGTGGCCTGTGGCTTCCAAATGTTTGTAGTACATTGGGATTTGGATTCAGATTCAGACAGCGACCTTCCCACATAACTACACGTTATGTATCCCAGCTACATAAATTACCTTAATTAGTATGAATGTGCAAATAGTCGCAATTACACGATGAGGAAGCTAAGTTCCCTCTCGGGTAGTGCCCGACTTACACCGGCTTCAATTACAGGTACCATCATTGGCATAATTATTATTATCATTGCTACCGCGCTCGTGACATCAAAAATTTTGGCACGGCCAAACGCGGATGGAGCCAGTGGCTCCGCCGACCTGCAGCGCCGACCCGTGGCAACCGGCGGCCAGACAGCCAGCGACGGCGTTATCAACAACGAAGATGGCATCTCACCCAGCGGCGCTGATATGGAGCCTCCAGACCGCGAACGAGAGGAACTGTCGGAACATATTTCAAAACTCGAGGGTGTGTAACGTATTGATTGCTCTTGCAATTGTGGAGAAATATAAATGAATGTAAATACTCCTTTTCCATCGGAGTTGTAGGGACTTCGTTCATAGTTTAATTTCGTAGTCATAGGAAGGTAGTCCCCTGTCCGTAGCCTTGTAGGTAACGAGATTATTTAAAGTCCCCTCATTTGATGTGTTTGCATGCAGAGGAGGCGGCTTCTATGGTGAACATGTCCTCCGACGAGTTCGCAATGCTTCGAGAGAGTGGCGACCTTCAAGTGCTTCAGTGTAACCTGGAGCGACTGAACACGCTTTCACGACGTCGCCAGGCGCTTGAAAAGGACAAGCCGGCACCCAAGAGCAGCCAGCGAACAGATAAACAGAAGGCCGAGCGGCGGCTTTATATACTAGACAAAGCCGTGGAGCGTTCCTTTCTTAACCTAACAACCGCCTGCAGCGCGTTGGGAGTCGCAGCTAACGGCGTTTACACCATGGTTATCGCTGGCGGGGGGCGCCTAGGCTTGAACCCAAGGTCCAATAGCGTTACAGCCTCCTTACCCTCGAACTGGATGTCCGAGGACGGATTTCTCGACAGAGAGTCCACCAAGAAAATCCTAGCAGCACCTGAGTCAAAGAGGTGGCCCTTCCATGGCCTCCTGAAGGTAGTAATTCAACGGGAGCAGGTCGCTGCAGCCACACCATCGGTTGCCAACCAGAGCACAGGTATGTGGTGTGGAGGGGGGTGGGGTATTGGCGTTTGGCCGTAGGTTTGCGAACATGACATTTGAAGCTTAGGTCGGTGCAGCGAGAGTGGGACCGGTACCGAACGCTGGTACCCACAGGGTATATCAGTTACGGGTGAAAGGCCGCTGCCTTACTGCGGCCGTCTGCGGGAGCTCTCAGGATACACCCCTGGTGAGCCCGATCCCCCGACCTCGCTGCCGCGAACGCCGCCTTACCAATGCAAGGCTGCAAGGGATTAAATTTGAAATGCATGAGGAGAAGCCGACTTACCCCGCCCTCAGGAGCAGCTAGCACCATTCCGGCACATGCTTGCTACCGTTTGGCCAATCGGCTACGACAATTCTATCATTCTGCGCACTGCCGCGAGCCACCCCGACCAGCCAGCCAACCAGCCAGGAAGCCCTCCCCCGCAAAGGCGCCGACTGCAG